CGTAGTCCTTCTTTATCCCCATCCTGCCGTTCCCTTGGGCTCATAATGATAGGCTGGTGTGGGCGCATTTGGGGGAAAGGAAACAGACATGTCACCAGGTGACCCCACAATAGTCACACCACCTCTGAGTCTGTGCCCTCTTTTTAAAATCGGCATGATGCCAGAAGCAATTTGGCAAGGTGGTTGCGGATGGGGGACCCAAGGAGATAAAACATGGAACGTGTTGGGCAACATGCCTCAAAGAGCCAAGTCCTTCCGGGATCACCAGCCCATTCTACAGGTGAGGAACTGAGGCTTGGAAAGTTGAGTGCTTTCCTCCAAAGTCACGCAATGAGGATTGCTACCTGGGATGGTGAAGTGAACACCTTTGAGCATCCCTTGGAGAGGGCGTCAGTGAGATTCAGGAGAGATTAAGCAGGAGACGGTCAGCTTGGGCTGAAGTATTACAAGGCACGAGGGGGGTTGGTGCAGAAGTAGATGACACAAGGCAGTTTTGCACACACACTTGCCTGGGGCCAAGCTGGTTCTCAGCGAATGAACTGCTCTTCCTGTGATTGTGTTTGTCCTTCATGAAGCTCACAATACAACTGTGCCCTCCACTCTTTCTGGAGAACCAGGTGGAGCTGCATTTGTTTCCCGATCCTTCTGGAAGGTACATGTTGAATGCCTACCTCATGGTAAATGGGACCCCTCCAGCTTCCAAACTCTGCTGACTCCCTTCACCTCTGCACCTTCACACAGCAGCGTCCAAGGGAGTGCATGTCTGTGGTCTGTCCCATGTTGTTGGTTGCCCTCAAGTGGGCTGTGACTCATGGTGACCTTGTCTTCAACAGGACATCACCCAGCACGGCATCATCTTCCTGATCACTGGTGTCTTCAAGTCCTTTGTTGCATCACTCCATCTCAATAAGGGTTTCCATCATTTCCACTTGACCTTCTACTTCACCAATGATCTCATCCCAAACAAATTGGGCTTGATTTGATTCGGACTTACAGTGACCCTATAGGACAGTGTAGAGTTGCTCTATTGAGTTTCCAAAGCAGTAATCTTTGGAGAGCTGTACAGGAGCCCTGGTGGCATAGTACCCATTGGCCTGCAGTCCACAAGGTCAGCAGTTCAAAACCACCAGTGGCTCTGCTGTAGCAAGATGAGGCTTTCTAATCCTATAAGGAGTGACAGTCTCAGAAACCTACGGGGGTGATTCTACTCTGTCCTATAGGGTCCCCACGAGTCAGAACCGACTTGACGGGCGGGAGTTGAGTTGAACTGAATTTCCATGGAAGCAGTCTGTCACACGGAGCACCTGGGGGTTCAAACAGAGCACGAGGTTGACTAATGAAACTCCATAGAGACTTCACTTTGGTGCCATCTCCTGTTGGCAGATCCTTTATGCTGTTGCCCCCAACTTTGGGTGCCTCGTGTGGTTCGGGGACAGCTGTTGGTGTCTGTGTTGTTTGTTGCCATTGAGTCAGCTCTGGCTCCTGGGGACCTCATCTCTAGCCGGTCTGGTCTCCCACCAGCTTCAGGTTGTCAGGTTGAGGTTTGCAGCACTTGTATGTTCTTTTCCTTATCCACCCAGAACCCACTAAGGTTCTCTGTGCACACGGGGGTCATCACAGGTTAGAATAGATTCAACAGCAAGTAGCCAAAACAACGCAGTGTCTTTGGGGTGTTGGATGGCCACGTGATTGTTTTTTTGTGGTAGATGGGGGGATGGTGTTAAACTGTTTACCTTCTGGATGTAACCTTCAAAAGCTCCACAGAATGAAACTCACATAGGGATATCTCCAATTCCACTTCTGGTTTAAGCACAGGGCATCTCTCTTGGACCCCATCCTCACACCCACACCCAGGCACTCATGCAACACCTCATCATCCATTTATCATGTGCTCATGTGCCTGGCCATTTTGTGTGTGTGTGTGTGTGTGTGTGTGTGTGCGCGCGTGCAACATCTCTGCCCTTGAGGCATTTCTTGCCTTGTGAAGGGGTGATGGAAAATCATTCATCAATCCCAGATATTGGATTTCCCCCAAAGCTATCGTATCCCCCTGTGTTAAAGACTGAGAGTGAGAGAAGGAATTATCCAATATCTTTAAATCTGTTACCAACTTTAATTGATTCAATTAGGTACAATTCATAGAACTCTAATGTTGGAAGGAGCCCAGAAGGTATTTATTCCAGGTTCCTCTCTCTGCCTTTAGGCAGAGAGCATCAAACTATCCCTGAATCCCATACATTTCAGCAAAGAGAGGCAATTGAAGAACTATTGCTCTTGGCCCATTGAGAGAAAGCTCGTCATTCAGTGAGCACCCACAGGGGAACGATGTGAACTTGTTGAAAGGGTGGACATGCTCCGTGACAGAGTATTGCTCTGGGAGATAGACAGACAGACAGACACACACACACACACACACACACACACGCACACACACACATGTGTGCGCCTGAAACAGAAGACAGAATCCCCATAACATGCATAGCAGGCCTGGGACCCATGCACATGACCACTGCTACAGACCACGCAATGGACCCGTGCACATGACCACTGCTACAGACCACGCAATGGACCTGTGCACATGACCACTGCTGCAGACCACGCAATGGAAATAAGGCCATATTCCCGCAGAAATTTATTTTAAATGAAAAGATTTCTGAGCATTTGTCAAATCCTGTTTTGCTGTAACAGAAGCAGCAGTCCTTCTGTGTAGCTGGCATTTTTGCATCATGTCAGTCAGGCAGCAACAGAGTTTAGGCATCTGCTTGGTGCAGATCTTACATAAGCCCAAGAAGGCCGTGGCTCTGTGTTGGAAAGGGGTCTGGTTGTAGAGCCATGGGGCCAGGGTGACAGGCCGGCTGTGCCATTGGGTTAAGGAGGGTAAAGGGGGTTAGCAAAGTGGGGGGCTGTATGCAAATGAGTCTTGGTGGTGGTGGCGTAGTCAGTTACCATTTGGGCTACTAACCACCGGGTGAACAGTTCAAATCCATCAGCCAACTTCAAGAGAGAAAGAGGAGGCTGTCGATTCCTGTAACGATGTAAAGCCTCTGAAACCCAAAAGGACAGTTCTACTCTGTCCTGTAAGGTTGCTCTGCACCTGAGTGGACCCAATGGCAGGGGGGTTTATTTTCTTAGTTTAAAACTTGAGGAGGTACCTGCTTGTTCTAACTGGCTATTTGATCGCTCTATCAGAGAGGTGCAGAGATATGTGGCCGATGACCAGGAAACTAGTTGGTGTTGAATTGACTTTGACTCACTATCTGTGAGTCTTTGTATCAGAGTTGAACTGAGCCCTCCAGGCCTTACAAGGACAAGATGGGCAGCTTTTCTTCAGAGGAGCCTCTGGCACCCAAGGCCAGCCAGTCTGGCAGCAACCAAGCACGTTATCTGAGTTCCTGGGTGATGCAAACGGCCAACACACTTGGCTGGCAGCCAATAGGTAGAAAGTTCAAGTCCACCCAGAGGCACCTTAGGAGAAAGGCTTGGCAGTCTCTTTCGGAAAAAGCAGCCAGTAAAACCCATGGAGTCCAGTGATACCCTGACATCCATGGGGCCACCATGAAGCAGATCCTGGTCAACTGCTTCGAGTCAGCCTCAAACCAGCCCACGCCTCACAGTTCATTCTAAGGATGCACAGCAATCCTACAGGACAGCAGAGCTGCCCCTCTGGATTTCTGAGACTGTAACTCTTTACAGGAATGAAAGCCTTGTCTTTCCCCTGTGGAGTGGCTGGTGGTTTCGAACCGTGGACTTTGTGGTTAACAGCTCAGCTCATAAACCATTATGCCACCAGGGCACCTTTTCAACCCACAGCGAGCCTACAGGACAGACTAGAACGACCCCATAGGGCTTTTGAGGCTGCAGTCTTTAGCACAGCGGACGAGCACATCATTCTCCTCAAGGGTGCCTGGTGAGTTTGAACTGCCCACCTTCTCATTACCAGCTGAGCACTTAAACACAGGGCTTCCAAGGCTCTTTGCTGCGGACCAGAAGCCCTTTAAAGAGCATGAATGCCACAGATGTCACTTTCCAGTGACACCTTTCAAAGCCTCGTTCTGCTCAGCCAAGTCCAAGCCCAAGGTTCACACCAGATTCTTTAACACCGTGTCTCTTTCCCCCTCACAAGCCACAGGGCATCTTCCCATGGTTTCAGAAGTCCCTCTGACTAAGGTCCACTCAGTTCCCCCTTCCTCCCTGGATGCCCCCTTCTTGGACCCTGCTGGCTCTCTCAGCCTCACGTGGATGCATCTCCTTGTAGCCTTTATTATACTCTGCATCATGTGGGAATCTGGAGTTCAAGCCCTAGCAACTCTAGCTCCATAAACCAGGAGGCCCCAAATCAGTAGCTTCAGGCATGGCTGGTTCCAGCTGCTCCAATTGTGCCACTGAGAATCTGGCTCCCAGTGCCCACGCTGGTTTTGACCCCTTGGTTTCTGGTACCAAGTCCTGAGTCTGGGAACCAGGTAGTGTTTGTTCTGTCAGAACCAGATGTACATCAAATCCGCGGTGGAATAAACCAAAGGGAAAGACATCATTGAAGGGCAAGAGCAAGGGCAGGTGGCCTTCACTGCCCCGGGCTGCGAGGCCTTGAGGATAGGGCCCCTTCTCAGGATCTGTCCCAATGTCTAGAAGCTCTGGTGGGGTAGTAGGTGCTAACATACAAGGTCAGCAGTTCAAACCCATCAGCCAAAGGTAAGACTTCCCACTCCCATAAAGCGTTACAGTCTTGGAAACCCACAGGGGCATTTACCCCCAGCCCAGTCGGGTCACTGTGAGCCGCAATCAACTTGATGGTAGTGAGCTTTGACTTTGTCTCAACATCTGGCACACTGTAGGCACTCTGGACTTGTTTGCACCTGAGTCAGTGTGTGATTGCTGAGTCAGGGTTGCTTCCGTGGCGGTGAGAGATGGGGGCTTGCTCTAGGTTGGACTTCATGTCTGGGAAACAATGGCTGGGTAGCATTGCCCTCATGCTGTTTTGCTTTCTCTGTACCCATTGGCAGGATCCGACGTCTACCTTCTTCCAGTTCGGGGCGTCCATCCAGCAGCAAGCCACCGTCATGCTGAAGATCATGCAGGACTATGACTGGCATGATTTCTCCCTGGTGACCACCATCTTCCCCGGCTACCGGGACTTCATCGGTTTTATCAAGACCACAGTGGACAACAGCTTTGTGGGCTGGGACATGCAGAACGTCATCACGCTGGACACTTCCTTTGAGGACGCCAAGACACAGGTCCAACTGAAGAAGATCCACTCCTCCGTCATCCTGCTCTACTGCTCCAAAGACGAGGCCGTGCTCATCCTCGGCGAGGCCCGCTCCCTCGGCCTCACCGGCTACGACTTCTTCTGGATCGTGCCCAGCCTGGTATCTGGCAACACCGAACTCATCCCCAAAGAGTTTCCATCGGGACTCATCTCGGTCTCCTACGATGACTGGGACTACAGCTTGCAGACCCGCGTGCGGGACGGCCTGGGCATCCTCACCACGGCAGCGGCCTCCATGCTGGAGAAGCACTCCTACATCCCCGAGGCCAAGACCAGCTGCTATGGGCAGGCTGAGAAGCCGGAGGGCCCGCTACACACGCTGCACCAGTAAGAGGCTCCGGTGCTTATACTGTTGCTTGTTTGCTAAGAGGGATGCTTGTTGCAGCACATGGAGTCCTGGCGCGGCCGTGGGTTACGCATTAGGCTGCTAACCACAAGGTCGGCAGTTCGAAACCACCAGCCGCTCCTGGGGAGAAAGATGAGGTTTTCCACTCCCATAAGGGGTTGCAGTCTTGGAAACACACAGGGGCAGTTCTACCTTGTCCTGGAGGGTCACTCTGAGTCAGGCTGAACTTGATGGCAATGGGTTTGGTTTGGTATTTTTGATTGTTTAAAACAAGGGGCTCTTCAAAAGATTTGTGGGGAAATTGAATTAGAAGAGAGTGGGATGTTCCCACAAACTTGAAGACCACCCCTGAAGTGTCCCTGAAGGTGAAGGAAGAGCCACCTTGGTGACTTGCCGTTCAGTCACTCTGGGCTCACGATGACCCCGTGTCACAAAGGAGAGCTGCCCCGGAGGCTGCTGCTGAGTACAGCCTTGATGGGGGCAGCTTGCCAGGCCTTTCTCTCATGGATCTGAGCTATTAGCCATTCAATTAGTAGCTGATTCCATAACCGCTGTACCACCAGATCACCCCACCCACCCAGTCCTACTGCCATCGACTCAGAGGCACTGTCATTGTCTGGTACCTTCAAGTCAGCCCAGACTCACGGCGACCTGACGTATGGCAGAAAGAAACACGGCCTGGTCTTGCTCCGTCCTCACAGTTGTTCTTCTGAGAAACGGGGACCATGTGCAGGTCTGAGTCGTCAATCCGTAAGGGAGCAGCTAGCCTTGTCGTTCTCTGGCTGAGCAGCTTGGGGCTCGAATCACCCACCTTCTGGTTAATGGCCCAGCGCTTAACCCACAGCCACACGAAACTGTCAGTCAGTCTCGTCATTCTGCTGCGGACCCCAAAAGGCCATCAAACAAACAAAACCCCTTCCCTCGAGTCCGTGCTGACTCACAGAGACCCTACAGGAGAGGGTGGAACTGCCCGTGGGTTTCCGAGACTGTCACTCTTTACGGACGTAGAAAGTATCCTCTTTCTCCTGAGGGTCAGCTGTTGGTTGCCAACTGCTGACCCTGTGGTTAGCAGCCCAATAAGAATAATACGGATGTCCCTACTGCCAAGTGCACCCTGGAAATAGTGGGTTCTTTGGGGGATTTTTTGCTTGATTTCTGCTCTTTCCCCCTCCCCCAGCACCCAGACTTCTTTGGCTTTCAAGTAACCTAGGATGGTAATTGCTTACTGCAGTTGACTTATTTTGAGAGGGCTTCAAAAAGTGGGTGGACAAATCCCATTATCTCTTCATTTCAATTTCCCATGAACTTTCTGAAGTCCCTTCACAAGTCTCTGATGCCTACACTGGAGAAATATGAGCACTGTTCTTAGTAACCCTCACACGGGACACCTCGCCATGGCTACCCATGGATCGAGTTATCCTGCCTCTGTACGACTGCCTCTGGGGCTGATGCTGATGATACTGCTGATGGTGATCACTGCACCCTTCTCGGTGTGTTTCACAGGCCCCTGTTTCTCTAGGGTTGATGCCAGGCAGTGAAATCCTTCGGTTATAGAATTATGTGCACTTAAAAAGTGATATATAGCCCTGCACATCAGCTATACCAATCCATTGCATAGTATAATATACATAATATACATAGTATAATATACAAGGGGGGATGTTAAAAATTCGTGGAGAAATTCCATGTCTCCGCAAGCTCCCTGCATCAGTTTTT